TTTACATGGACCTTGAGCTATTCAATATGTGTGCTAGGAACTGAACTCAGGCCCTCTGCAAAAGCAATATGTGCTTTTAAAAGCTGAGTCACCTGTTCATCCCAAAAACAGTTCTGATTTTTAAAATATGAAGGTCATAAGTTTGAGTGGAATGGTGCTTATTTTTACATGTGCAATGTGGAAGGCAGGCTACAAGCTCTAGAGAAATTTTACCTGGGTAAATAACACAACTCTCAAGATGTATCTGGAAGTGGGTATGCATTCCCAATTGCCTGAAAATGAAAATGATTGCCCTGTTTGACTCAGAGTACGATTCAAATGTGCCTGACACCATACACAGATATTTTTGGAAATTTGTGACCATATACTTCCCAATAATCCAACTTTGAAGGTGATGGGAGATGTCACTCTGTAAATAGGTTTCTCCTAGAATTCAACAAGAATGAGGACACAACATATGCGAACTTATCGGACACCTTGAAAGAGTGCTATGAGGGATGTTCATTGCGCTAAGTGCCCATATGAAGAAAACTGAGAATACTCACATTAGAGAATTAACAGCAAAACTGAAAGCCCTAGAACAAAAAGAAGCAAACTCACCCAGAGGTATAGTAGCAAGGAAATAATTTGAGGGCTAAAATCAATAAAGGAGAATCCTGGAAAACAATACAAAAATCAATGCAATGAAGAGTTTACTATTTGAGGAAATGAACAAGATAGACAAATCTTTATCCAAACTAACACAAAAGCAGAGAGAGAATACATAAAATAACAAAATCAGAAACAAGGAAGGAGACATAACAACCGACACTGGGGAAATCCAGACAATTTTCAGGTCATACTTTGAAACCCTATGCTCCATAAAATTTAAAAACTCAAAGTAAATGGACAAATTTCTCAATAACTATCACTAACTAAAATTAAATCAAGAACAGATGAGCACCTTAAAAATACCCCTACTGAAATAGAGGCAGTCATTGGAAGCCTCCCAACCAAAAAATCCAGGGCCAGATGGCTTCAGTGCTGAATTCTTCCATAAATTCCAACAAAAGCTAATAACATAACTTCACAAATTGTTTCACAGAATAGAAGTAGAATGTACATAACCAAGCTCCTTTTGCAAGGCCACAATTACCTTGGTAACTAAGCCAAAAGAAGACACAACAAAAAAGAGAACTACAGACCAATATCCCTCATGAATATTGATGCAAAAATACTCAATAAAGTACTGGAAAATCGAATCCAAGAACACATCAGAGAAATCATCTAACATGACTAAATAGGCTTCATCCCTGGGTTACAGGGACAGGTCAACATATGAAAATCTATCAATGTGATCTACCATATAAACAAACTGAAAAAGAAAAACAATGTAATCATCTCACTGGATGCTTAAAAAGCCTTTGAGAAAATCCAATACCTTTCGTGAAAGAGGTCTTGGAGAGATCAGGGATAACAGGAACATACCTAAATGAATAAAAGCAATATACAGTAAACCAACAGCCAACATCAAACAGAGTGTAGAGGATAAACATCTTCAGCAAACTAGCAGGTTACAAGATAAACTCAAAAAAATCAGTAGCCCTACTTTATTCAGACGACAAAGAGGTAGAGAAAGAAATCAGAGAAACATCACCCTTTACAATAGCCACAAGCAACATAAAGTATCTTGGTGTAAAGCTTACCAAAAAAGTAAAAGACCTATATAATAAGAAATTTGTGGCTCTAAAGAAAGAAATTAAAGAAGATACCAGAAAATGGAAGACAGCCTACAGACGTGGAAAAGATCTTCACCAATCATACATCTGAAAGAGGGTTGATCTCCAAAATATACAAAGAACTCAAGAAACTAGTCACCAAACACCAAATAACCCTATTAAAAATGACGCACAGAACTGAAGAGAGAAATCTCAATTATGGAAATCAAAAAGGCTTCAAGACTCTTAAGAAAGTACTCAACATCCTTAGCTACCAAGGAAATGGAAATCAAAACAATTTTGAGATACCATCTTACCAGAAGTACTAAAATTAGGAACACCATGACAACTTATGCTGGAGAGGATATGGAGAAACAGGATAACTCCTATACTTCTGGCGGGAGTGCAAAAAAGTACAGCCATTTTATAGATCATTATGGTGATTCTAAGGAAAAATGGGAATCAGTCTATCACAGGACCCAGCAATCCCAAACTTAGGCATATACCCAAATGATCCACATCCATGCAAAAAAAGATATCTGTTTACTATATTCATAGCAGCATTATTTGTAATTGCAAGAATCTAGAAGCAACCTAGATGCCCCTCAACAGAAGAATAGATAATGAGTATGTGGCACATTTACACAATGGATTACTACTCTGCCAGAAAGAAACAATGGAATATTGAACTTTACAGGCAAGTGGATGGAACTTGAAGAAACCATCCTGAATGAGGTAACCCAGTAACAAAAAGAGGGACATGGTACATATTTCCTTATATGGATTTTAGACACAGAGCAGAGGATCACTGGCTTATAATTTACAGTGCCAGAGATGAGACTAGGATACCAGACATTTCTAAGTGATTCATACATGATCTCTCACGGGGGGGGGGCAAGATCTCCTGAGAATATTCAGAGTGGTGGGGCAGTGAGTGCAGAGGGGACTAGGAAAAAGAGAAGGGCAGGAGAGGAAAGCACATGAGACTAGAAAGATTGAGTCAGGGAAGGAATAGATGGGAAAAACACACGGAGAGAGAGAAATACCATAAAAGAGGGAGCCATTATAGGATTCTATAAAAAATGATTATAGAGAAATGTACAGAGACCTACAAGTCTCATCCCATTTTACAATTTGTGCAACATTTGCTAGGCTACTATAAATGCCTTTCCCTGATAAGGAGATTGATGACTAACTTATGTACAATCATTTAGCCCTCCTCTTGAAGCTGATAGAAATAGAAACAGATACACACAGCTAAACACTGTGCCATACTGGAATCCAGATGCAGAGAGGGAGGACAAAATCAGGCTATATAAACATATAGAGACAACTGACCTAAACAAGGAGGAGCTAATGGGTCCCAGACTGATAGCTAGGAATCCAACATTTGTACAACTCAGACCACCTAAACATAGGTCTCAGAAGGCCTGGCCAGACTAAGCAACCTCTGACTGTGGAACCAGGATGTATCATAATAGGACTTTTGGAGCATGTTCCCCATGGAGGGATACTCCTTGCACCTAGAGGCAAGAGGGAGGGCCTAGTTCCTACTCCAAATGATTGGACAGATTTAGATGACCCATTTAGGAACTCATCACCCTACATGTGCAGTGGGGAGAAGTTATTTGAGGCTGGTGGATGGGCATGGGAGTGTAGAAGAAAGGGACCTAGAAGGGATGGAGTAGGAACTGGGATTCATATGTAAAATAAGAAAAATAAATAAATATAATACATAAATAAAAGAGAATTGGCACTTATTGTAGTCAATATAAATCATTTTTACTTTCAGGTATTATTCAAAAAGGGAATGAGTTTTATGCCTGCCACATGCATAAATGTAAAGCTGGAGTTTCATTGGTACTTGTCAATTAATGTTGCTGTTTAAATACAATTATCAGTGCCTAAAATCATTTGATGATGAAAACATACAATCATAAGTGGCTAGCAGACTACTTTAGAGCAAAGTCAATGGAAATGGATGGTCCTTAGGTCCATAATACTGGAAAATACAAATGTCTAAACAGTTTAACAAAATGCCATTACAGGTCATTTTTTAATAGCTAAATACAATCTGTACATATCGCACAACTATAAGTATGAGATAATTCACAATCACAATTGCAGCAGTTATTATTTGTATCTGTGCATTTGTTGGTAGTGTGCAGCACCATGCCCAGCTTAGTTATAATAAATACCAAGAACCTGCAATATTCACAAATAATCATTAACAAAAGCCAAACATATGTTATTCTTCCTGCTTCCCAGCCAATCTGTTGACTCTACATATCAGATACAGATTATAGAATACAATAGATAGATCAATTCAAAATTTAAGCTTACCATTTATAAGTAGCAAACACTAACACACTACAAATTAAAGGGACTCTACTGTCAATAACTTTGCAATATAGATGAGAATTGACTTTAGCCAATGAATGCACTTAACATCCACTGTAAATATAGCTTAAATATATTTTACTACTATCAAATTTTTCTTTTAGCTAGGTAATGATGGTGCACAACTTTAATCCCAGTACAAAGGAGGTAGAGGCAGGTGCATCACTAAGGCCACCTTGGTCTACAGACATGATTCCAGGATTGCCATCAATACAGAAAGAAACCTTGCCTCAAACCTTTGCTCCGAAAAGGATGTTTCTCTGTGTGTAATTATTTTCCAATTGTAATCATAAAATCAATTTTAAACAAAAAGGAATTCAGTACAATACCCTGAGCTAGTAAAATGTTACAATTCACTTAACTGTTTTAAAATTTTACTTAGTTTTATGTACATAAGTGTTTCTCCTGACTCTGATATACCTGGACTTACAAGGTGCTAACTGTATGACACATAAATATGAAGATGTGCACATGTTATGTGTGTGTCCATGCACACACGAGTGTGAGTGGAGGTGTCTTAAGAGGACAGAAGAGGGTCTAAATTAACCTGGAAGTAGAATGACAGGCAAATGTGAGCCATCTGACTTGCTCAGGACCAAACACAGCTCAGCTCTAATGGAAGAGCAGCAAGTGCTGAGCTGAAATACTGTGCTCTCTCTCTAACCCCCAAAATTCCTTCTCAAGACTTTGTGATTTTAAAACTAATTATATTCAGTGGGAAATGTACAAGTAAAGCACAAAATAAAAGATTAATTCTCAGTGCTTCCTATAGTCTGGCCTGTAATATGATTTCAATTCTGGTAAAATTAATAAAATTCATAGAAAGTGATTATTTTTAAATACCCTCTATACCTTTACCTAATATAAAATGAATAGTATATGTTACGGGACTTAAAAACTTACCCAATAGTCATGTGCCCTTTGTTCATGAGCAATAACCTAAAAAAAGTTATTAAAATTATTCGTAAATAAAAAAAAATTCATTACCACCACTAAAATTCATGGTCCAAACCATAATTCCCACTGCCTAGGCATCTCTGAAGCACTATAACCATTTTGAAAGCATGATTTCACATATACAGATGATTTTCTCTCCTGAAATTTTTAACAAACCTGAACATAAGTGTTTTTAATGCCAACAAACTGCAGAAGATGATCAACTACTAGAGTTTCCAAGGAACAGATAACAATCCCAACATGGGACTGCGATGGTGACACATTGCTTTGCTATATAATACTCATTCCAAAAGAAAGGGAAGTTGCAGAAGTATTATATTTCAGTATCGTTGGCTCTCTGTGTATATTTCAGTTTCACAAAACACATCAGGAGTGATGAAAGCTAGAGTCCTGCATCAGTTCTATCCAGTCAGAGTGCTCTAACTGCATATAGAGCTGTCACTTGACACACATACCTGCCCTTGATAGGAGGAAATTGTTCTCTCCAATTCTTCTTCGATATCCTTTGCACACCGTCTACATGGAACAAATAGTTACTCCACTGTGCTAACATATAATAAAGAATAACAGCACATGGCTACAAGGATATTACTGAGTGTTCTTCCTTATTTAATTATAACCACAAGACTTCTCTTTTGAGAGATACTGACAGGTATTAATGACCATCTTCTCCTCCCTTAGGTCTAATGTCAATTAAACTATGTGAGTACTACTACTTGGATGTGCCTAACACAATGTCACAAAAATTTACACAGTACAGAAGGTCTCCAGCAGCCTGTTCAGGGGATCATTTACAATCTTACCATGCCCCCATGCTAAGTACAAAAGTCTCAGGCAAATGCAAGCATGCCTGATCATCTGGATTTCATTTTCAGGACTCAAAATCATGAAAGATTAACTCAGATCCTGTAAAATTAACAGATTCCCAGAAAAGGAAATCTTTTTTGTTTGCTTTGTTTTGTTTGTTTTGAACTTCAAGACAGGGTTTCTCCGTAGCCCTAACAGTCCAAGAACTGGCTCTGTAGACCAGGCTGGACTTGAGCTGACAGAGATCCACCTGCCTCTGATACCAATGCCCAGCTCAGGAGAGGAACTCATAAGAGGTAAAAGTATAACTAACTTACCGTCTTATGAAACAAAAAAGTAATTTGTCCTTTTAGACAAAGCCCAAACTTACTCTTCCTAAGGTTGATAGAAGTATCCTATGACTCAAGTTGCTGTGGTGAGCATCTAACAGACATTCTAGTGTTTCCTCAGGTCCACTGAGGACTGAACCAAAGACTAGCTAAGCATTTACTAAAATTCTAAGAGTGGCTTGTTCATTTCATGGCAAACTTGCTGTGTATATTCTTCACCAGTTGAAAAAATCTTCATGAATGAGCTTGAATTAACTGCTCATCATATCCTTCTTGAAGACAGGGTCTCATGCAGTCCAAGCTAGTTTCAAACTCACTATTTAGCCAATATTGGTCTTGATCTTGTGACCATTCTTTTCCACCTCCCAGTGCCAACACACACAACATCCATACCTATTTATAAACTTCTTCATGTTAACATAAAATATGTTTATACTTATATATCAAAATCCCCAAAAAGAAAATTTTCCTTGTTATATTTTCTGAATATCAACAAAATTCCATGAAGTTCAAATACAAAGTAATGAAACAAAAATATGCCAATTCACTGAGTAGTGGTGTTAGGGCACACAAGCCTTTAGTCCTAGCACTTGGTAGGCAGAGGCAGGCAGATATTTGAGTTCAAGGCAAGTCTGCCTCCAGAAAGAGTTCCGGATGGGTCAGGGATACAGAGACCTTGTCTGAGATCAAACAAAACAATAAAGCCATTTTATTTTACTGCTTCCTGATGCCAAGCATCAAAATAAGAAAGAGGATGTCTTACCTATAGGTCTCTAGTTCCTTGTTCACATGGCTAGTTCTCTTGTTCACTTTGAAAACTTCTTCCTCTTTCTCCAATCTACAATTTTCCTCCACTGTTATTTTCCTTTAAAAAAAAGAGTTTTTCATTCCTTTTAATGTATGCAATCAATATAATCAACTACAATAACAAATGGTGTATCACACAAAGCAATTGTCATACACCACATCAAAGGCCATGTGCAAAAAAAGTAAAAAGAAAAAAAAAATTGTGAGTCTCTGATATGAAATTTGGCACTGGGCCAAAGATGAAATTTGGCACTGGGCCAAAGTGTGGTTCCAACAAACCCTACACTTCTGTGGAACTTCCTGGTTCTGCTCTGAACTCACTGGAACCACTTATCCCCTCAGGAACACCTTGATGCTAAACTGTCCTAATCTTTGAAACCCACCAACTGCGCTCTGCCAGGGGAGCAATATCCAAGAGAACTTGGATTATCCAGGGTTGCAGACATCGAAATCCTGACCAACCTACATTCACCAGGACAGCAGGGTAAAGAGAGACAGAAACTCCAGCTTCACACACTGGAATAAGTGATGGGAAGACAGCAATAGAAGAAAACACCCAACAATAGAAAGAACAGTACGATACAACCAGAATCTAGGGACTCCACACCAAAAAGAACTAAACATATCAAAACAGATGAAGAAGAGAATGACATTTAAAAAATTTTTTAAAATATCACAGTCCCGCAAAGATGCTATGAGAAAAAAAAATCTCTTAAAGAAATGGAAGAAATCCAGACTAAAGTGGTTTAATCAAGTCAGACCGCCTGAAACAGAGTATGAGGTGATTCTACATTCAAAAAAGATGGACAAAGAAGCCTTACAGACTACAGCCAGGATTTCTGAATCTTCTTTGAATCCCCCATGAGAGTGCCCGTTACCAGCAGGAAGTAGTCTGGAAAGAACAAAGCCCAAATTCCCAAATATTGTCTATAAATGTTTGTTTTCATTTAAATGGACTTTGTTATATAAAATAAATTAAAAAAAAGAAATGGAAGAAAAAAAACAAACAATAAATTGGAAAAATAGAGAAAAAGGCCACAGAATATATGAATAAAATAAAAAAAAATCTCTTAAAAAAAGTAAAGGAAGCAATGAAAAAACAATAAAACAGATGAAGGAAGCAATTCAAACTGTTCAAGACCTGAAAACTGATATAGAGACAATAAAGAAAATATTATTTGAGGGAAAGCTTAAAACAGAAAACCTGGGTAAATGATCAGGAACTGCAGACACAAGCATAACCAACAGAATATAAGAGCTTGAAGAGAGAATCTCAGGAGTTGAAGATAAACTAAAGGAAATAGATTCATTGACCAAAGAAAATCTTAAATCCAACAAAACATAGCAGAAACATGGGATACTGTGAAAAGGCCAAACCTAAGAATAATAGGCATAGAAGAAGGTGAAGAACCCCAGATCAAAGGTGCAGAAAATATATTAAAAAAAATCATTGAAGAAAACTTTCCCAATCTGAAGAGAATTTTTCCAATTTGAAGATTCAAAAATGTGCTTATGAAAATACAAGAAGCGTACCCAAAACCAAATAGACAGGGCAAAAAGCAAAACAACAACAAGAACAACAACAAAAACAAACTCCCATTGACTCATCATAATCAAAACATGTAACATTCAGAATAAATAAATTATATTAAGGACAAGAAGAACAAAGGCCAGGTAATTTATAATGGCAATCAAAATATCAATCAAAATATCAAAATTGCACCTGAATTCTACATGATAACTATCAAGGCCAGAATGTCCTGGATAGCTGTTCTACAAGTACTAAGAGTTCACAGATTCCAGCCAAGGCTACCATACCCAACAAAACTCTCAATCACTATAGATGGAGAAAACAAGATATTTAATGACAAAGCCAGATTTTCACAATACTTATCCACAAATCCATCCCTGCAGAATGTTCTTGAAGGAAAATTCCAACCCAAGGACGTTAACTACAATAACAAACAACTAGCCAATAGATAATACTCCTTCACCAGAACCCAAAAGTAAAAGCATAGGAAATATACACAGCAATACCACTGCCAACAACAACAAAAAGAAATCTAAAACAAATATGAATTAACAATTAATGAATGAATGGTCCTTACTTTCCACCAACATTAATGGTCTTAATTTGCATATAAAAAGACACAGTCTAATAGAACTGATCTGAAGACAGAATCTACCCTTTTGGTGTAACAAGAAACACATCTAAGCTTCAAAGACAGATACTAACCTAGAGAAAAATCATTTGGGCCCAGGAAGCAAGAAGGTGCAGTTGTCTTAATATCTACCAAGTTAGACTTCAAACCAAAATCAAGCAAAAGAAGGCCATTTCATACCCATCATAAGAGAAGTCCATCAGTATAAAGTCTCAATTCTGAACATCTATGCTCCACATACAAAGGCACCCACATATATAAAAGAAACACTAATAAAACTTAAAGCTCACATAAACTTCACATATTAAAAAACTCTTTTTATGGGGCTTGTTACACAAGTCACACAAATGCACAAATAAGAAGGAGAACTAGAGACCAACATCATTCATGAACATTGATGCAAATATCCTATATTAAATACTGGTAAATTGAATCCAAATTCACATCAGAGAACTCATCCAACATGAGAAAACAGGCTTCATCCCAGGGACGCAGGGATGGTTCAACATACAAAAATCTATCAATGAGCCCCACAACAAAAACAAACGGAGAAGGAATAACCACATTATAATCCCACTAAGATGCTGAAAAGGCATTTGAAAACATTGAACACCCTTGGAGAGATCTGGGAAAACAAAAATATACCTAAATATAATAAAAGCAATATATAGTAAACCAACAGCCAACATCATACTGAAAGGAGAAAAGCTTAAGGCAATTCCTCTAAAATGAGGAACATGACAAGACTGCCCTCTCTCTAAATATCTCTTCAATAATGTACTTGAAGTTCTAGCAAAAGCAATAAGAAAACAAAGGGAAAACAAAGGGATACAAATTTGAAAGGAAGAAATCAAAATGTCACTATTTGCAGATGATATGATAGTTTCCATTAAGTGGTCCAATAAACTCTACCAGGTAACTCCTATGCCTGGAAAACATATTCAGCAAATTAGCAGGATACAAGATTAATTAAAAAAAAAAAAGAAAATTACAGACAATGATGTGGCAAAGGAAGAATTCACAGAAACATCTAATGGATCAAAGACCTCAACATAAAACCAGCCACACTTAGAAGAGAAAGTTGGAGGTATTTTGAACAAATTGGTTCAGGAGACAGTTTCCTGAACATAACACCAGTAGCACAGTCACTGAGATTGGAAATTCATAAATGGGACCTCCTCAAATTTAGAAGCTTCTGTAAGGCAAAGTACAGAGTCAACAAGACCAAATCTCAGTGCACAGACTGGGAAAAGTTCTTCACCAACCCCACATCTGAGAGAAGGATGATCTCTACAATAGACAAATAACTCAAGAAACTAGTTACCAACACAACAAATGAAGAGAGAATTGTCAATAGAGGAATCCAAAATGGCTGAAAGAGACTTAAGAAAGTGCTTAACAGTCTTAGCCATCAGGGAAATGCAAATCAAAACAACTGAGTTACCATAGTATTCTTGTCAGAATGACTAAACTTAGAAACACCAATGGCAGCTTATGGTGGAAAGAATGTGGGGAAAGGGTAACACTCCTTCACTGCCGGCAGGAGTGCAAATTTGTACAGCCATTTTGGAGATCAGTATTGTGGTTCCTCAGGAAAATCAAAATCAGTTTACCACAAGCCCTGGCAATTCCACCCTTGGGCATATATACATCCATGTAACAGAGACATCTGATCATCTGTGTTCATAGCAGCATTATTTGAAATTGCAGGAATCTGGAAACAACCTAGAAGCCCCTCATCTGAAAATTGATAAAGATGTTGTACATTTACACAATGGAATACTACTCTGCTGAAAAAAAAAAAAAAACAATGGAATCTTGAAATTTGTAGGTACATGGATGGAACTTGAAGAAACCATCCTGATTGAGGTAACCCACTCATAAAAAGAGGAACATGGTATGTACTCACTTATATATGGATTTGAGACATAGAGCAAAGGATCACCAGCATATAATTCTCACCGTGAGAGAAACTAGTATACAAGGAGGAACCAAAGACAATAATACAAGGTCCCTCATAGAAGGGGAAAGGACAGGATCTCCTGAGCATATTGCGAGTGGGTGGGGTCAGTGAGTGGAGTGTCAGTAGAAAGAGAAGGGGAGGAGCAGAGCACATGTGGGTCCAGGAAGATTAAATTGGAAGACTAATACATGAGAGAGAAAAAGAAAGATAATATAATAGAGGGAGCCATTATAAGTTTGAAGAGAAAATTGACTCTAGAGAAGTGTTCAGAGACCTACAAGGATAACCCCAATTATCAATCTGAGCAATCGTAGAAAGGCTACTTTAAATTCCCTTCCCTGATAATGAGATAGATAACTAATTTATATGCCATCATTAAGCCCCCATCTAGTAGATGATGGAAATAGAAACAGAAACCCACAGCTAAACACTGAGCTGAACTCTTGGAATCCAGTTGCAAAGAGGGATGAGTGATAAGAAAATTGGTCAAGTCCAGGCTACGGAAACCAACAGATACAGCTAACCCGTAACAAGGGTGAGCTCATGGCCCCCAGACTGATAGCTGGGGAACCAGCATTGTACTGAATCATATCTCTGAACTTGGACCTCAGTTAGAAGGCCTGGGGAGTCTAAGGGACCTCTGACAGATATACCAGGATGTGTCCGTGGTGCATAAAAGGACTTTGGGAGCACATTCCTCGTGGAGGAATACTCCTTTAGTCTAGAAGCAGGAGGGAAGTTCTAGATACTACTCCAAATGATTTGACAGATTTTGATGTCCCCTCTTGGATGTCACCCTTCCTGTAGAGTTGGGGGTAATGGGAAGTGAAGGTGAGAGCAGGCTATTAGGGAAGGAGGGAGTGGGAACTAGGATCAAGTTTTATTATAGTAAGTCATTATGTTTGTTAGTAAGAGGGCCAATAACTATAACTA